GATAATAATATTCATAGCTACTTTAGATTTACTCTACAAGAAGGAGATAATAATATTCCTAACTACTTTAGATTTACTCTTCAAGAAGGAGGTAATAATATTCCTAGCTACTTTAGATTTACTCTACAAGAAGGAGATAATAATATTCATAGCTACTTTAGATTTATTCTTTAAGAAGGAGGTAATAATATTCCTAGCTACTTTAGATTTACTCTTCATGAAGGAGATAATAATATTCCAAGCTACTTTAGATTTACTATACAAGAAGGAGATAATAATATTTTTAACTAGGAGATAATATTCCTAGCTACTTTGGATTTACTCTACAAGAAGGAGATAATAATATTCCTAGCTACTTTAGATTTACTCTTCAAGAAGGAGATAATAATATTCCTAGCTACTTTAGATTTACTCTTCAAGAAGGAGATAATAATATTCCTAACTACTTTAGATTTACTCTTCAAGAAGGAGATAATAATATTCATAGCTACTTTAGATTTACTCTTCAAGAAGGAGATAATAATATTCCTAGCTACTTTAGATTTACTCTTCAAGAAGGAGATAATAATATTCATAGCTACTTGAGATTTACTCTTCAAGAAGGAGATAATAATATTCCTAACTACTTTAGATTTACTCTTTAAGAAGGAGATAATAATATTCATAGCTACTTTAGATTTACTCTTCAAGAAGTAGATAATAGTATTCCTAGCTACTTTAGATTTACTCTTTAAGAAGGAGATAATAATATTCCTAACTACTTTAAATTTACTCCACAAGAAGGAGATAATAATATCCATAGCTACTTTAGATTTACTCTGTAAGAAAGAGATAATAATATTCATAGCTACTTTAGATTTACTCTACAAGAAGGAGATAATAATATTCCTAACTAGGAGATAATATTCCTAGCTGCTTTAGATTTACTCTACCAGAAGGAGATAATAATATTCCTAGCTACTTTAGATTTACCCTTCAAGAAGGAGATAATAATATTCCTAGCTACTTTAGATTTACTCTTCAAGAAGGAGATAATAATATTCCTAACTACTTTAGATTTACTCTTCAAGAAGGAGATAATAATATTCCTAGCTACTTTAGATTTACTCTTCCAGAAGGAGATAATAATATTCCTAGCTACTTTAGATTTACTCTG